CTAGGGCTTCCAGTGCTATGTTGGGTAGAAGTGGCAAGAGTCGGCATCCATACCTTCCTTTCCTGATCTTAGTGGAAAAGCTTTCAACTTTGCACTGTTGAGCATGTGTTAGCTGTGGGCTTGGCATATATGGCCTTTGCTGTGTTGAGGTACATTCTTTCTATAGCTAATTTGTTGAGAGTTTTTATCATGAAAAGATATTGAATCTGTTCAAATGCATTTATTGAGATGATCATATAGTTTTTATCCCTCATTCTGTTAATGTGGTATGTCACATCTATTCGTTGCATATGCTTAACATTGCATCCCAGGTATAAATCTCACTTGATCATGGTGTATGATCCTTATAAAGTGCTATTGAATTCAGTTTGCTAGTATCTTGTTGAGGATTTTTGCATCTATGTTCATCAGGGATATTGACCTGTAGTTTTCTTTTCTCATAGTGCCCTTGTCCCTTGTCTGGCTTTGGTATCAGGGTAAACCTTGCTAGCCTTGTTTGGCAGTGTTTCTTCCTCTTCAATTATATGGAAGAATTTGAGGAGGATTGTTATTAATCCTTCTTTAAGTGTTTGGCAAAACTCCCCAGTGAAGCCATTAGGTCTTGGGCTTTTCTTTGCTGGGAGATTTTTGATTACTGATTCAGTCTCCTTACTTGTTATTGATCTGTTCAGATTTTCTATTTCTTTAAGAATAATGTTCTTGTTCCTAAATTTAATGGAAATGTATTTAGGATTTTTCATTTAGATATGATGTAGACTCTTGGTTTGAAATAGATGTTCTTACTGTGTTAAGGAAGTGTTCTCCTTTTCTTAACTTACCAAGAATTGCTTTTCAATTCTCCTCTTTCCATCTTCTTCTCTTCCTCATTCTTCCCCTCCAGCCCTTCCTTTTCATCTGTAGTGGATGTTGACTTTCATGAAATGCCTTTAAAACATCAATTGAGATGATGCTATAATTTCCTAACTTTGATCTAATGATAAGATGAGTTGTCCTAAAAACGATCTCCTAATAATTCACATCTTTGCATTCTTGCAACAAATCCTACGTGGTCCTCTGTTTAATTCTTCTGAATTATATTTTCCAATATTATATTCAGGATTTTTGTAGCTATATCTCCAATACATATGTAGAGGTTTTTCTGAGCTATCTTTAACAGATTTTGCTTTCAGAGTAAGCTAATTAGAAAATGAATTCTGAAACCTTCCATTATTTTCTCTGTAAGAATTTTAGAAGTATTGCCTGCCAGCAGTAGACTTGTTAAAATTCACCATAGATGCCTGACATTTGGTGGGGGTCAGTTTTTTGGCTACATTCCTCTCACTGATTTTTTGGTTCTTAGGGGTTTTTTCCTTAAAATTTTCTATATATTCTTGAATCAATTTTTTTTTTTGAGACAGAGTCTCACTCTGTTGCCTGAGCTAGAGTGCCATGGCATCAGCTTTGCTCACAGCAACCTCACACTCCTGGGCTCAAGCAATCCTCCTGCCTCAGCCTCCCGGGTAGCTGGGACTACAGGCATGCGCCACCATGCCCGGCTAATTTTTTCTATATATATTAGTTGGCCAATTAATGTGTTTCTATTTATAGTAGAGACGGGGTCTCGCTCTTGCTCAGTCTGGTTTCGAACTCTTGACCTTGAGTGATCCACCCACCTCGGCATCCCAGAGTGCTAGGATTACAGGCGTGAGCCACCGCTTCCGGCCATGAATCAATTTTTATAATTTATATTTTCCTAGAGAAAAAAAAATTTATTTTCTCAAGATTGTTAAGATTAGCATAAAGCTTTACATAGACTTCTGTAGTATTAAAATGTCTTTATCTGTAAGCTCCTTTCTCACTTTGAATATTATATTTTTCTCTCTTTTATTTATTGGACTAATCAAATATTTGTGTATCCATTGATCTTTTCAATGCCCCAGCTTTTGAATTTAGTGTTAAGTTTTTTTTATTAAGTTTTCTAATTCACTGAAAAATTCATTTCTTCTTTCTGCCTATATTGTTTTTGTTTCCCTAGCTTCTTGAATTAAATATTTGCTCTAGTTATTTTTATTCTGTTATTTAATTAATTCTTTTTATTCTCTGTTCTTTAATTCCAAAGGCATTTAGGGCTGTATATTTTCCTCTGAGAATGATTTAGGATGCTTCTCTTATTTTTATATGTAGTATTCTCATGTCATTAATTTTTAATGTTCTGTAATTGCTGTTTTGATTTCCTCCTGGACTCAAAGGTTATTTAGAATAGCCAAGCATGGTTTCTTACATGGTAAATTGGACCTCTTATTATAATCCTTTACTTCTGTCTGTGGACACATTCAGGGAAGAGGTGTGGTAGTTTGGGGAGAAGGAGGGATGTGAGTTGTCTGCACACCTTCCTGCCCACGGTTTCCCTCCCCACATACTTCCTTGTCAGCTCTGGGACTAGTGCTCACTGGCAGCCACAAGGAATGTCACATAAAAAAGAAAATAGCTCCTCATCACCTCAAGTCCCCAGCTGCACATCACTTGGATTGTTGTACAGCGAAAGGATGTGTGTTAAGGAAATGCTTGTGGAGAAAGTCAATGAAAAGAATAAATATTTCTAGAATTACACACAAAAGTCACTGCCCCCATAGCCTGACCGCAATGCAAAGGGGTCTCATTGTGCATATTGGAAAACAAATGTTAAAAGAATTCAATCTTTCCAAGAAATGTGTGACCATAAAAAAAAAAAAAAAAGAATTCAATCTTTCTAAATAGGTTTCCTATGTGTTTGGTCCTTTGAGTTCATTCTGGAAGGCTGTCATTTTATTTCTAGTTATAACCTGGCCTTTTACCAGCATTTGACCTTGTGCGGTCACCTCACCTCTCAGCCTGTTACCTTCTTTGAAAAATGAGATGGTTCAAGTAAAATCAGGTCTTGAGCCCCTTCTAATTCTAACGCATCCTAATCTCCAACTTCACAGTGACATCTTACTGCTTTACACGTAACAAAATGTCCTGATGTGATTAGATAAGTAAATAGAATAGGTTGTCACTAGAATGGCTGTCAAGCTAGTCTACCCAGAATTCTCCAACACAAAGTTGTTTAGCTTGTGGGAAATTTAGTTAAGATGCAAGATTTGCAAAACAATTTCTAAGAATTCTCTCAGTTTCCATGTTTACCTACAAAAATACTATGATGATTTTCATGTGCTTAAAACTTTATGTAAAAGATAAAGGTAATGCCCAAATTTCTTCTGAAATTTGAATATGTTATGTTGTTGTTGTCGGGGCTGGAGCAAGGTGTTTCAGCACAACCTGATGTAGGAGAGGTTAAAACTCGCTGCTTGAAGAGGTTCTCCAGACGAAGCTATGCAGTGCAGGGAGAAGCGCAAGTAGTGGGTGCTCTCTAGGACTTCTTTCTGGGACCACACCACCCTCCCTCCCATCCCCTCCGTCTCACGGAAGTCTCCAGAGGTGGGCTGATCTGAACCTGAGTCCAGACCCTTTGCACCAAAGGTACCTGTGACGCCCTTGCTCCATTCCAGCCCAACAAACCAATCACTACTAACTTGTCCACACCCATTGCCCATGCAATTGTCTTTCTTGGGAAACAGCTTCACCTAAGTCAGTGATTCTCAGTGCTTTGAGGTGTAATATCTGCTTTTTATTCCAAATACTTGTCACACCTCCTTTATTGACTGAAATGAAAATGGTAGAAAATATAACTTACTTTCTCACTATATAACGCTCACATTATTTTAAAAAATGAAACTTAAGACAAGTAATTTGTAATAAAAGAACATTTCAATATGTAAAAGCTTAGGCAAGACAACACTAGCAGCTGTAATGAAGTAGTCTGATGCTTGCTGTGTGTCTAGACTCACGTTCACGGGGAAGGCCACAGATGAACTATTGTGCTAGTGACAAATACCAAATCCTACTCGCTGTTCGCTAAATGCTAGTAGCATCACTCGACCACTTGTTCTGATAATCCAGCTTTATCATAAGTTATTTTTTAAAATAGTCTTTTAAAAACCTACATCAGTGACCCTGTGATGTAAAGTTTGGTCATTGTAACCACCTCCAGAGAGCTATTTTGTTATAAAGAATATTTCACCGTCTCCCATACCCGGCAACTACTTTGTCTGATTTTTTATCCCAAAGTCTTAAAATACGAATATCACAATGCATAAAAAAACAATCTCGACAATTAAAATTAACGTTTATTGAATGCTTACCATATGTCAAGCCCTTTTAAAAATCATTTTGCATTAATACCTCAGTTAATCCTCATAACTCTATAAGTAATCTTATTTTCCAGGGATATTTGGCACAGGAAATTAAGGGACATGACTGAGATCACACATCTAGCCACATCTAGATTCTTGCAGAAATCAACTCCTCTAATTATCATGGCAGTAAACAAAGTATTAATACTATCAATGTTAAGAAATAGACATTTCAGGATGAAAGGAAGTTTCTTTCTCCAATGTCTTTCTCATTGTTTGAAATTTCAGCCCATGATTTCTTGGCCTGCGTTTGCATTTTTAGCACTGAAATGTAATTAAGTAGGTTTTGACTTAATATTTTCATTCAACTGTTTCAGAATAGATTTTTCTCCTCTTGGCATTTATCTATATGTAAAATCGTAGGCTCATTCATTAGAAGATTTGGAATAAAAATGTTTTTCTCAACTCTCCTTTCATTGCCAAATGTCTTGTTCCAAATGAGGCTTGTTTTAATCGAATTAAGGGAATTACTTTTTAAAAAGTCTCTGTGTAGACAGCCATTGTGGCCATTCCACAGAGAATAACACAGTCTGGTCAGGAGTGTCAAAGTCGAAAGAGTGTCAGAAACTGTAGTCATGCATTATTCACAGAGGTAAATCCATTTCTTCCTACAAACAGCCAAGGAGGCATTTGAACATGATCATCAACAGTTTAGGGTTGGACTTTACCCTCATGTGGCTGCTTATATTATAAAGACAACACAGTCAATTACTCAAAGCAAACCTGTGATACATTTATTTTTCCTTTCAGAGGCAAAATGATCCCATCTGATCTTGAAAGAAGGATCCTTGAAGCCAAACAGAAGGTAAGTTTCTGCACAGAGCTTTATTCAATCTATATTTCTACTTCCATCCACTGAGGAATACACGTCAAGTTTTATTTTTTTTTTTTTTGAGACAGAGTCTCGCTTTGTTGCACAGGCTAGAGTGAGTGCCGTGGCGTCAGCCTAGCTCACAGCAACCTCAAACTCCTGGGCTCAAGCGATCCTTCTGCCTCAGCCTCCCGAGTAGCTGGGACTACAGGCATGCGCCACCACGCCCGGCTAATTTTATATATATATTAGTTGGCCAATTAATTTCTTTCTATTTATAGTAGAGACGGGGTCTCGCTCTTGCTCAGGCTGGTTTCGAACTCCTGACCTCGAGCAATCCTCCCGCCTCGGCCTCCCAGAGTGCTAGGATTACAGGCTTGAGCCACCGCGCCCGGCCGTCAAGTTTTATTTTAAAAAGAGGATTCAAGCCTCAATCCCCAGCTTTAGTGAGAATATAGAATTTTGCATCTGGTCATTGTTTCTTTCTTTGAATGGTAGGCTCTGCTTTAGAAAAGTTTGAATTGCTGAGTAAATATTTTACACAGAGATATTGTAAGAGTTTCCAAAGTGTTTGTCTCCCTAGGTACTGAGGGTTGGCATTAAACAGACACTTTTGAAAGATCATTTTCACAAGCAGGAACTGTATGCTTGTGCAAATGATGGTACTGTAGCATGTTTGTTACTGTTGCATATTTATTTCAAAGGGGCCAGTTTTTCCTGCCTAGGTTATGCTGATACCATTGGCTCTCCAAACATCTTACTTTGCAAGAAGCAATTTAGAACCCTGTTTAAAAGTAACAAGTTCTGTAGCCCTACCAAAGACATCCACAAAGCTCTAGAAAGTCATTTACATCCCTGGATGGTTCACAAGTCAGTTTGTTTCTAGAATTTTCTGTTGAACTTTTAGTAGATAGAATCTACAATTCCTAGTTTAATGACACACAGATGCATTTTATCATTATGAACTCGGGAATAATTTCTTTTCATATGGCCTTCTTTTGTTTTTACAAAGTGGTAGCAGGTGATTTCTCTAGTTCTTATACAGGTGCTAGATGGAATTGCTTCTAAGAACATCAACTACAAGATTAAACCTTTGCTGCCACCTAAAGACGGACTCTGTAACACCACAGTTTATAAACCAACAGGACAGAGTCTTTATGGAATGAGTGAACAGGTTGACACTATTGCGGTATTCTAATGCCTTCTTCTAACAACGGCCTGTTATTTCAGTTAGTTTTCATTTAGCCATGGCCAGAGAGATGGAGGACTGCTTAGACAGATAAAATCCATGGCATAGCCCATGTGAAACCCCCCACCCTCTGAGACTCCCAATAAATTAGCTGAGCATTTTCCAAGTAGGGATAATGGCTGGTCAGTTTCTTCTCTCTGTCCTGCCTGCTCGCTCTAGGGTATTTATTAAGTTCTTAGGCCCTTTTGTGAAGAAAGTGAGCAAAGTGGGTAAAAGGGGCCAGAAAGTCTAGCTGGAATATATAAACAGCTTGTGGACATCACTGACAACCTCAGTTCAGCCTCTTCTGCAAACAGGGATGTCTATCACAAGGCACCGTCAGGCCCAACAGCATGGAACGCAGAGCTCAGATTCGAGAGAGTCGACATTAATACGTACCACACCCCAGGGTATTGATAACCCTTCTGACGCTCCCAAAATACTGATGAGTATGGTAGGAGGAGCATTGCCATTGTTTTTAATCCAGCTTTTTAAAAGACTCCTCGAACCCCCATTTTACGTTACTTGGGGCTTTCTCGTTTGTGTAGGGATTTGTTCCCTTCCTCGTGAGCGCCACCGCTGGAACCACTGTGTATGGCGCGTTCGATCCGCTCTTGGCTATCGCTGACATTTGCAAAAAGTACAAGATCTGGATGCATGTGGATGTGAGTAACCCTTAGGGACTGGCCTCCAAAATGTCCTTGCATATGTCCTTGCAAAATGTCCTTGTCCTGTGAGTCCTGTCATCCAGGGCTCACAGAATGAAATTTGGTTTTTCTTTTTTACTTCATCAGCTTATTTACAGAATAGTGATATTTAAGCTTTTAAAGATTGCAGAGACAAATTAGCACACAACTCACACAGTACACAGCCTGAGAGTGATTATGCCGTTATGTTCCCAACACGGTAATATTTTTATTGCTATGATCAGCCCAGAGCTGTGCACTTGGTCCTCCGTTCACTGAGCCATCACCTCCACGGAGGATGCAGTCGACAACAGTCACACGTGGAGGTCTTCCTCCCTTGTAGGATGAATCAGAAGGAGTTGCATTTCTGCAGGAAATCCAGAGGATAAAAAATACTTAAGCTCAGGTTAGGTATTCATGCATTTGGGGAGGAAAATGGGCTTGACGACTTACCGAGAAATACAGACCACCGAATTTCCAGTTTCTTAGTTTGGCCAGCTAAGAAGATAAATTAAATTTGAGATATTTTGACTCCAGACCTAGTAGTGACACCAAAAATAATAATAACAATAATAATAATGCAGGTGTGGCCCACCAGAACATTTTCAAATGAAAAATAACCAGTTTTTAGAAGTATGAATTGAAAGATATACGTTTAGGTCAGTATTTCTTAAAGTGTGGTTTGCAGATCAGCTGCCATCTGTAAACTGTTTGCTCACGATCCATAAAGAGATAAGGAATTTGTGCCAAACCATCGCTAATCATAAACCGTCACAAACTAAGTACAATGTTTGGTGCAGCTGATATTTTTTTCATTGCAAAACGTTCTCATTGAAGGAATGCATAAGGTGATGTACATTCTGATACAAGATCCAATGTCACTGTGGGCCATCACTTTGAGGAGCAGTGCCCTAGGTCACTTTGGCTTAGTTCAATATGTACTCAGACCAAATTAATTTCCCTTTCTTTGGAAGCAGAAAACATCCACAGGCTAAGGTGTGTGCCTTTCCATTCATTCCAGAGTTATTTGCAGAGCACTTACAAATCTGCTTTTCCTTCCCTGATTCACCATGTGAGTTGTTCATTAGGCTACCAGAGAAACCTTTTTATACGTGAAGAAACTAAACAAAGACTGAACAACTCAGGTACCATCACTGCTGGGTCTCAGAACTGGAAAGCTTGTTAGACCCTGCTGGCTGATTCAGGAAGATGATTACCTGACAACTTTAAAAATAAGAATATTTATTTCTCCTGAAGCAGCAGATGTTGTGGTCTTTTTTTCTACTTAAATTAGAACCTGGGGATCTTTTAACTGGTTGTATTAGCTTTTCTTTGAAATCCATTAAGTTTATCACTAATTCTTATTAGCTTTAACATTCATACATTCTATAATTAAACTGGAAAAAAATCTTAAAATAGTATACATTTGGAAAATCAAATAATTTTTTGAAGTGTAAAAAAACTGAAATTACAACAAAGAGGGAAAAAGTGATTATATCATAACAGATTTTTTTCTTTAAAATCATCCCAGAATTATTTTTACACACAGAATAAAGAATGTTAACATTTTCAAATGAATCTCCATCTTGACATTCTATTTTTAACGATGATTACTACACCAATTCAAATCTTCAAACTTGAGTACAAATTTTTAAGGGATGTGTTCTAATTGCTCAGCTAATTGACTGGTACCAATCTTTCCTGCTTGTGGATTTATGGTGGGTTTTTTTTTTTTTTTTGGACACAAAAATTATCCAAAATTACACATCAGTAAAATAAAGTCACGAAACTGCTTCTTCCCTCTGGAATCATCCAGACTTATCAAAAGAGTTTCCTTTGCTACTTGAAAGCTGTTTAATGGGTGCTCAGTCCGTCTGCTCTACATTGAACCGTGGAGACCACAGGGTTTCTCATTCTGAGAACGTGGGCTTCACTAGAACTCATGATGGGGGTGGTGGGTTGTGGGGAGGCCCTTTATCCATCTCAAACAGAAGAAATGTGCCCCTAATTTGGCTCCTTACACCATATAAATGTAGGATAGAATCTGAGGCCTTAGAATGGCCCTCCAATTTAAACCTTGAAGGTCTAGGGCCGGAAGAAGTTGGCCGACTCCCTAGGTTGCCTGGAGTCCAAGAGATCATTTTCATCCTATGAGACTCTTATAAGTCTGTAGAAATCAGGCAATGAAAACCCGCTACCTCTTTCCTTGTATGATTTTCTTTTCCAGGCGGCTTGGGGTGGGGGATTACTGATGTCCCGAAAACACAAGTGGAAACTGAGTGGTGTGGAGAGGTATGTGCGTTTTTCTTGTTAACAATGTAAAGTGTTGAAAGCTAGATGTGAAAAGCAAATAACACTCAATTTCCAGGAACTCTTGGAATACAGGTGAGTGCTTATATACCTTGCCTCGTGTGGCATTGCACTGGTGACTGTTATGTGTAAACAAGCAAAAAAAAAAATCAAGCGCTACGTCAAGTGACCCAGGTAGAATATCTCTTAAACACAGAGATTCCTATCAGGAATTCTATTCCTGGGATCTCTGAGCCAGCCACCAAAATTGTTTAAAACCTGCAGGAAGTCCACATTTTCTAGGAGAAGATTTACAGCTTTCACGTTCCATAAAAGGATAATATCCACTGCTTTAAAAAAAAAAAAAAAAAGCCCCTTGCAACTTATCAACATTGAAAGTTCAGGTTTGGGGGTTAACAGGTCCAGTTCACTTACAGTGAGACAGACTCGTGATAACATCGTCTCATGGTTTAATTCCCATAATAACCTTTTTCTGACGTAGCTCTGATTGATGCTGCAAAGCATCTTTTATTTAGAGCCTCTGCAGTGAGAACCATTGAGAAAAGCTGCAAAACACAAAGGAGGTAATATTTGATTAGCATATTCAGGTCCAAAGGAAAAAAAAACAGAATGCAAAATACAGCCTCAGGCTTTGGCTGCAGACCACGTGCAAAGGCGGCCCAGTTCGCCATCACAGCACGCAGGTCAGCCTCCGTGGCGAGTCCTGACCCTCCAGGTAAGTGAGAGAGCCTGAATTCATCCAAGGCTGCCAAATGCTCCCCCAGCCCTGAGAAGCAGCCAGGTGCTGCCCAGGAAGAGCTTCACCCTGGCTCTGCCCCTAGATGTCTTGGCACAGTTTCTGCTCCAGGACGAGGTCAGGGTCTGGCTGGGCACCGAGAGTCGCTCGTGCTCTGACCGCAGGTGCCCATCAGGTGTGGGTGGATGAAAGCAGGCCATTCCTCCCCCTCCCTGTCCCCCAGAGTCAGCCAGTTCCAGGCTTCTGCTTCTGGTTCATGATGGGAAGTCCTAACCCCTTCCCATCATGAAGATCTACAGGAAACCAGAAGCTCATTTGAGTCAGTGAACTAAACAGGCAGAGACGATGAAGAAAAAAAAAAGAGAGAAAACAACTTGGAAGGTGTCTGCTCAGATGATCAGAACAAGAACTAAATGCATGTGCTTTCAAGAGACGTGGCCCATACATAGCACCTTCTCTTGTTCGAGTTTCTTTTTGACTGGCACAAAAAGGGAACGTCTCTTATTCTACCTTTGACGACACATGTCACTGCAAGTGCTGAAACCCCTGGAACATCCTCTGCTTGAAAGCTCACTAAATTACCTCCCCTGAGCCTTAGGAAAAGGAACACCCACGCGGTTTTGTGCTAAAGACTGTTATTTGAGAGCACAGCTTAGAATGTTCATCACGGAACATGAAGTCCTTGCTCATTGCCACAATTCTGGAAACTATGTTGTAAAGAAATCTTTCAAATAGAATAGCCAAGTACGAAGTCCTAAAAATGAGGGGACTGCTGGTGCTCCGCTCTGAGCAGAGCCCTCTCGGCCACTCATTTTACCTGGGGGCACCCCTCTTGCTGCCTGTCAGGAAAAGGCACACGTGCTTTTCTGAGTGAAGCTGTAGGGCCAGGGGAAACCGCTGGCCCATAATGTGCATGAACACAAGATTAGGAAAGACATTTGTCTCACTTGGGAGTGATGTTTGCCCAAGCATTACATACCAAAGCGTGGGGATGAAGGATGAAAACTCACCTGTGGGATAGAGTATAAATGACCGGGGTGATGGGTGTGCTAAAGCCCAGACTTCGCCACTATACAATGTATACGTGTAGCAGAATTCAACTTGTACCCTCTAAATTTATTAATATTAAATGTAAAAAAAATTTAAATAAATAAAATATAATCACAGTGCTCTCTAACTGCAAAATTAACTAATTTCTTACAAAATGGAGGAAATCCATAGTCACTTCTTGTCCCCAGATTCAGAGGTTCTTCCGTGGTCACAGAGGGGCCCAAATGCCATTCTCACAGCAAAATGGCAAAAGCTCCAGGAGCTCTGCCTGGCATCCCCTTTGAGAACCACCCAAATTCTCAGGGAATAGCTTTCTTCCTTGCTAGCACTGTCAAAATGGCTACAGATGGTGACACGTTTAGCTGGGCATGGTGGCACATGCCTAGGACTCGGGAGGCTGAGGTGGGAGGTTTGCTTGAGCCCAGGAGGCTGCAGTGAGCCATGTTTGCACCACTGCACTGCAGCCTGGACCACAGAGCAAGACCTGGCCAGGACATGCGTCTGTGCATTGTGTCGGCACACCGACCCCTCCGCGCGGGCTGCTGCTTCCCTGTGATCGCCATTGCATCATTGCTGTGCCCACTCTCAAGGCTTTAAGGCCCAGCTGAAGGTTCTAGTGCAGCTCCTGCTGCTTCCACAGTCGGCCTCCCTCCCGCCCTGACAGCCAGGGGTCAGAATTTTCTTCAGCAGGTCTGAGCTCTGTCCTGTGCAAACCACACCATGAGGTACCTCGTGGGCACACAAATGAATGTGACCTGCAGCCTGTCTTCAAGGAGTTCAGAACCCAGCGGAGAAGACTGGCAATGAGCAATGGGTTAAAGTTCCAGGCAGAGGAAGTAAAGCCTCGAGAGGTGGGCAAGTGAGCTGATGGGGAGACAGAAAGGAATGGGTTTAGAGCAGAGGAACAACCCGATCTCGCCTGTGTTTTGGAATAACTTTGAATCAGAGCACAGACGGAAGCCAGGGCCTGCCTGGAAGCTATTAAACTACGAGGAACGGCCAGGCACGGGACGGGGGTGTGGGCAGAGCTGCAGCCACGGCAGGGAAATGAGTGGGGGACCCCGGAGGGACGAGATAGGGCAGCGAGGAAGGGGCGATGTCAGGAGAGGGGGGAGGATGGAATGAAACCAAACCCAACGCTGAGGTTTGGGGCTGATGCCTGGAATGAAAACAATGCCGGGAACACAGAATACAGAGGAGAAAGAATACATTGAGAAGGATGAGCAGTGGCAGGTTAATTAGTTCATTTGGGGCCTGTGGGTTTAGGCGCAGATAAGGGCACAAGGATACGTCTTAAAACAGCCCGGGGGATTCGGTTCTGCCCAACTTACTGAGTCTGCAGAAGCCACATGACTGAATCCACAGCAAAACATTTTGAAATGAACCCGAGGCTGTGTTTGCACAAATTGGCAACATTTCTCAACAGAAGCGAGGCCATGTCATCGAACCGGTCTGCGAGGCTTTTTGCCATCTCCGTGAGACTCTTCATGCCTCCAAGAGAGGCAGGCAGGGGCTTCAGCGGCAGGTGGCTGTGCCTTGGCAGCTTCCCTCTTGAAAGTCAGACAGGCCACTGCGTGGAAAAAAACAGCCGCCGTCAAGAAGGGGAGGACAACGCTTTTCTTCTCCCATCGGGCACCCTTGTTGACAGAACTCAGTTTACCAGGATTAGCTGTCTAGCTGTAGAAGATTACAGAATGTGTAGAATGGTGGTGTGTATGTGCCCAAGGTCACAGAGCTCATAAATGACACAGACAACCATATTTAATGCTCATTGGTGTTAGGCACAGTTATAAGCACTTTTCCCAAACTATTTACTATTATTCTCCTTTTAGAGATGAGGCCATCTAGGCACAGAGAGGTTAAGGAACTTGTTCAAGGTCACACAGGAAGTGAGGCAAACCCAGATTTTCGGGCTCCTGAGTCCTTCTCCCTTAACCACGATTACCTACTACTCTCAAGCATAGATTTCTTCACTCCAAGGTCGTTCTACAGAGCAAGAAGATATTTTCTTGGAAGGCACTTTTCAATACTACAGTTCTGTTATTGTTCATTTAGTCCTCTTTCCAGGAGTAGTAATCTGACCCTGAACTGCCTTTGCCTCTATTTCCCCGATTCCAGTCCTCAATGTGTATGACAGCCAGTGTCAGGGCCAAAGAGACACCAGCAGATGAGCTGGACGCTTCGTTGGCTCAGATAAGATCCCCCGGCCAATAAGCGTCCTCCGACAGGCTGGCAACCCCAGCCACTCACCGCATGGATGGACGGGGTCTTTCCTGGCCTCCAGTTTCTTCCCGAGGCCTGTGAGCAGCGGGATCCCAAGTCTACTGTTCAGCCCGAGCTGGGTCAGCTACCCTGGCACTCTGCAGGCAGCGACCACGGGCGGTTCTGCCACTTCCCTTCCTCCTGTGGGCTTGTCTGGACCACGGTCACATCCGTGAGCCTCGCCCGGGACCCCTCGTCCCTCAGGAGACAAGCACAGAGACTCGCCTTGCCTGGCAAACGAGCGTGTGAGGAGCAGGATGGAATGCAGGCGGGAGCAATTGCTCTGCGGGCCCTGCAGGAGGAGCACCTCGGGGAGACAGAGATGTGGAAGGCAGGTGAACAAGTCTGCAGGGACGACACGCTGCGGCCTTGAGCAGTAAGCAGGACTCAGCCAGAGGAAGCGAAGGGAGATGGCTTTCCCAGAGTGTGTGAACAGAATCTTCCGGGAACAAAAAATAATCTGGTGAGATGCAAGCGGAGAAAGGACAGTGAAGGGACGAGAGGCTGAACTGTAACAGGGGCTCGTCCTGGGGTGTCCTGGGCCAGGCCCCCAGTCTGGAACTTGGGCGGGAGGCACATGGGGTTGTCAGCTATTTGGGAAGAAGAGAGCGTTGTACACAGAGCTGGAAGATGATTCTGGTACCAGGTGGAGGATGAAATGGAGACCGAGAGTCAGTTAAGGCAAAACGGCTGTATCCAGATTAAAATAATTATTATTATTATTATTAAGAGAATCTGAACCAGGACTGCGGTTCAGGCTTTTGAAATGACATAAATCCCTGAGCTGGGAATCTGCTTTGTGAGCCGCTGTCCCTGAGGAGGGAGCATCACCTGTCGCAGGTGTGAGGCCGGTGAGGAGGGGAATGTCTGCCCGGGAGCCGCGGCACAGCTCCAGCCCTGGGCCAGAGAAGAGAGGGAAGCAGCTAGAAGCACCTACAAAAAAACAGTGGAGAAATGTCGAGAAAAGAATACAATTCAGCTGTGGAACGAGCTTGCTCTCTGAGCTCCAGGCCACATTGCAGGGACAGTTGGGGACACAGGAGGCAGCTGCCTTCGCCTGCCGGGTGGTCCGATCCCCAGTGGCCAAAGCAGGAACGTAGGTGGAATGACCCTGGTCACTCACAGGGTCACCCACACCCTCACCTGCTGTCTTTGTGTACAAAGAAAAGTCACACGTTTAAGATTCTGCTTTTTGTTTTGTAAATTCAGTGTCATCCTGGGGTCTGAGAAACAACACCCAGGAACACAAGCTGCTGCCATCCCCTGGGCCTGTCCTGGAGTGTCATTCTCGTATTTGTGTATTCTAGGGCCAACTCTGTGACGTGGAATCCGCACAAGATGATGGGGGTCCCCCTGCAGTGCTCCGCTCTCCTGGTTAGGGAAGAGGTATGTCCGCCCCCACTCTGCGGCCCAGGCCATCGGTGGCATTTCGCTGTCATCCTACAGTTGAATTTCTCTTGAAATGTCAAGATCGCTAGGTCTTCCCTCCCTGGTTGCTCACATTCCCCAGCCAGCCGTCTTCTCAACTCCGTCCAGAGGGTGCAGGTCTGCCTAGCAGGAAAACAGGTTTAGGACGGCTCAACTCTCAGAATATAAACTTTGACCTAATCTCCACGTTTTCAGTAAGCTACTTGTTTCCTCAGCTAGACCTGGTGTCCCTAATCCAGAGTCCCTGTAGGTTACTCTCTCAAAAAATTAAATTTCCAGTTTTTTTCTGGAATCTTAGAAGGGATAGTTTTTACTATATTAAAAAAATATATGTGATATGGGACTAAAGTTAGCATTAGGATTCAGATACATACATGTGTGTGTGTATTATATATCTCATAATTACAGTCTAGTTACATATGTGTGTGTGTGTGTATTGTATATCTCATAACTACAGTCTAGTCTATTTAATAGCTAAAGGCATGTTCAGAATGTAAGGACTCTGCATATTTAATAACGAGCAAATGAAGAATAAGCAAAGGCTCTTCCATTCACACAACTGCTGTGTACAAGGCCAGGGCGGCTCTCCGCAGATGTTCTCTGCCGATCGGGGCCTCTGCGTGTCCCTGTGACGCCGGTCGGGCCCCACACCCTCGCTCCTACACTGGGTTAGTCGATGACACCCAAGAAAAGACCTTCAGCTTATCTCTTTTAAATTTTATCTCCTTAACATTAATAAAGCAACTCCAGATAAAAGGGATCTTTTAATATTTAGTTTAAGAATATTTTCCTTTTTCCAATCATAAAGGTAACATATAATTACATTAGAAAATTTGAGCAGAACAGAAAATAGAAATAAATTTAGAGTCACCCCAAATTCTACCACTTAGAGATAAATATTATTACTGATTTGTAATATTTTCTCCCACCTTTCTCTAGAAATATAAAAAACATAAATAAATATATATTTAAAATAAGATTGCTATCATCCATGTCATAGATACATGTTTATTCTTTTCCATACTTAACATTATATTGTGAGCACAATCTTCCAAAACATGACTTTTAATGGCCTTATATTATTCTATCACATAATTAATGAATCATATCCCTGTGGTTAAAATACTAACCAATATTTTCCATAGTGGCTTGATAAAATTTTTAAACATATATCTTCAATCACATTCCTGATTATTTTCTTAAAGTAGATACCACAAAGTGGGATTTCTGGATCAAAGGTTATTATTATTTCTGTGGTTCTTAATATCTCCTGTTGCCAGCTGCAGATTTAAATAGCATCTTTGCCTTCATCAAAAGTGTCTTCATCAGAGTAATTAATAGAAAATAATTGACACAGGATCGAAGACAGAGATCGCCTTTCAAAATGAAATGAGTACTTTGAAAAATATCCTTTTGGACTGATTGTCCATTACTTAAAAATCCAGTTCAATATATTATCATCTCCTCTAGCTCCTGCTATGTTACTCGAAAGGAGAAATAAGTTTTTGTTGTGTAGATGTCGGCCAGTTGTTTGACAGTGGCTCCCACTATGTCCTCACCGACCAAAAGAGAAAGAAAGCCAGGCGAAAACAGTTAGATTTGGAACTGATCAGATGACTGCACTGCAGGACCTGCTCATTGGTGACTTGACGTTACCCAGGGTAGAGCCTGTGGCTGGGGGCCTAACCCTGTATCGTTCAAAATATTCACTGACAGTTTGAGTAAAACCTGGAAGTTTATTGACATCTCAGATGAGAGGAAACTGGGAGGTCGAGTAAATGTGGGTCACGACATAAACAGAATACGAGATGATGTTTGCAGACTGCACCAGTGAGCCACAGCCAAAGAATGGGGATTGCTAACGAGGATCGGCATAAGAGGGTCCAAGTATAACTTGGGTGGTTGTATTTGGACTGAACTAGGCAGGCTTGTTTGACACATGGCTACATAGTTGCACTTGTGAAAAGTGCCGAGGACATGAGGTTGTACTCTTCCAGGTCAACAATGAATGAAGAGAAAATGCCATTCATGAAAGAGATATAAGCAGTAGAGTTTGAGCCTGAGAAGGTGGCGGTCTCATTCCCTCCACCCCTGCGGCGTGTTGCTTAGCTTGGTGCCAAACCATGTACGGAGCCCTATCAGGCTAGAGCTCAGACGGTGGGGACCGACCAGTAAACGTGTAAGAGGGACGGTCAGAAGGACTAAGGGTGTCTAATGTAGGGAGAAGAGAAAGGAAAAACAAGAAATGTAGGGACAGGGAGGAAGATAGTAGCCTTCGCAGTTGAGAGGACTCTCAAGTGGCAATGATTTTTTTTTTCTTAAGGCTTTTGGGGGGCTGGATTGTCACACTGAGTCCTACCGATTTGATGGCAACATCAGAGCACACTGTGACTTTTAGGTCTGATTTGGGTTCGATAAAATGAACACTTGTCTAAAAATTAAGCTGTCTAACGGTAAGAATAAATTAATCATAGGAAGTGATTGAATAGAGATTGAACAGCCACTTATTAGCAAGGATGTAGAAAGTATCCCTTTATTAGGGGTAGGAATAGAGTAAATGAGATTTCAACTCCCTTCTGAATCCAGGAGTGTATTATGCTCTGACAGCATTTCTTTTATTGGGGCCCAAGGAATAATACTGTTCCATAAGATGTTAATAAGTATTCTGCAGTAAGAGAATTCTCAGCATTAAAAAGGTTGGGATATATTGGAGTAGAGTTAAAAACAAGTTTCATTATTTCAGGGCTTATTGGAGCCTTTAATATGCTGATGTATACTGCAATACCTAAAAAGAAGGGATTTATGAGATAGCTTCCTAAATTTATTTGAGCATGAGAATCTCTTTTTGTACAGTAACTATTAACATGTCTTAAAATGGTTTGGTGCATGATGGTCTATAACTTTGTCATGGCTCAGAACCAGGATATTATCTCACTGAGGCCTTCTGTATGAAAAACAACCTCACTTTCACCTGTCCTTTGGTACAATAGTGAGACTGGAGCTAGCCAACTTTTTAGAGGTCATGTGCTTCAAGTTGTTTTTCCATCCCAGTAGAAGTTGGTCTGATCCACCCACCATTTTCCACACTCTCTGAGGTGGTAGTAAGAGTAATAGTAAGTAGTAAAAGCTTAGTGTGTCTCCTGTAGTATTGATGGCACCTATTTGTGAACCTGCATGGCCAGGGGAAGAATGGTACAAAGGTTCTGTGACCATGAAACCGAATAGAAGCACCTGTTGCAATTTTCACATCTTATTGGTCTTCCAGTGAATTTTCTTTTTCAAGTTCATTGTCTTTCTACTGTTCTAATACAAATACCTTGTATTTGTATATAATCCTTCTTATTCTCAAAAATAGCTTACTAGACTCCAGTGTTTATGAAGCCTAAACTACAAGGTAGAGTCCAGTTCTCTTGCCTATCATCGGGGTACTCTGTCTTTCAAAACCTAGTTTAAACTGTGGTTGCATTGCATGGTGTTTTGATTTGGATAATTTTCAAAAAGTGTTCTCGCTTCTAACTTCAACGAAGTGATCACATTTTAGTCTTTTCTTCTCTTGTCATGCATCACAAGAGAACAGAAACCAAATGCCAAAGCTTTTGAAAAATCACAATTATACAGTAGATGACAAAAGAGTCAAAGGCTTCCAGTGGTTCGTGACAAACTGGAACATGGTGGGGTTTCTAATGAGGAGACTGGCAATGCTATTTTAGTCAGAAAGCGTGATTCATTTAGTGTTCTTTTGAATAGTTCAATCAGTTTGCCTCCCATTGCCATGGTAAGGTTACAGGGCTAGCGAGGGCAAATGGATGGTCACTGACAGTGAAACTTTCCACTATAGCTGCCATAAGGACCCGACCATGAAAATGCAGGACTGAAGCTCTGACCACTCTTGAGAGAGGAACATGACATTGGAAAGGATGGTTATTGACATTCATCTCAGATTTGCAATGTCTTTTTTTTTTAAGATTTTAACATATAAAAAGGATAGCAATGAATTATCTTAAAAGCTTTCCAAAGAGAAATGATTTCCAAAGAGAGCTCACACTCTAACAGCTAAACGATAAAGTGCTTGAACTAGATATGGATGGAAATGCTAGAATTGCACTAATGATATTTTACAGAAGAGTTTCCAAAATATTTTAATTATAACAAAACCAGACTATCAGAATGTTCTCCCAAAGAAGAAACATCATACTGTGATTTTGACCTTCATTTATTGATTGAATTTTTCATAAATGTCTTCTCTTAAAAGAGAGAGTAAGAGTGTAAGTTGTCCTTGTTAACCTCCCCAACATTTGTCCCTGAGCCTTTTCATCCCACAGAGTTGACCTATCACAACAGCCTGGGCGTTCCTGACCAGAACTGGCCCACTTTTTTTTTTTTTTTTGTCATTTGATTCTTACTGTTTTCTTTCTCCAAGATATACACTGTGCCTTTTTTGTTTGTGTGTTAATATTAATAATTCCCACCACGACATAAATCTAATGGTAGCCAATGGACTTTCCTAAATTTTCTCTTCTTTCTTTCAGGGATTGATGCAGAATTGCAACCAAATGCATGCCTCCTACCTCTTTCAGCAAGACAAACATTATGATCTGTCCTACGACACTGGAGACAAGGCCTTACAGTGTGGACGCCACGTTGATGTCTTTAAATTATGGCTGATGTGGAGGGCAAAGGTGAGCGTGTGCAGAACAGATGAATGCCAGCTAAAAACAAAAACTATCTGGTGACACCTATTATAATATGTTAAAAAATTGATTTCCAAATTGCAAATTACTGACCCAAGGTTGTTTCTTTAATTCTGTATCTAAATACCTGTATTCGACACGGGCAAGAATATAATCAAACCCATTGTTTGTTTTTGTCCCTTTTAAGCTAAATTGCTTCTAATGCTCACTCATGTAAAAAACATCCATTTTTCCTTATTGGCAGAACACCTTGATTTTTAGTAAGTGGTGGTTGTTGTTGGGCTCTTTATCCCCTGACTCTTGGTTTTTAGGCCCAGTGATTGATCACCCAGGTAAGGTTAATGCAATCTGAAAGTATATTTTTAAAGAATAAAAAAGGAAAAGTAAAAACCCCACCATGATAGCTTATTTTTGACATTTTAAGGGATAACCTTTAATTATAAGTCTTTTTGTAGAACTCCAGCAGTAGCTAACCACCTCCTTTAGCTGGGGTTCTCTGTTGACCTTGGAATTGAACTGTTGGTGACCCTTCCTCTCTGGGCAAGGTAACTCGGTAACTAGTGGTGTGCATTCCTGGCCGGACCTCAGTGTAGCTTTCCAAGGACATTTGTGTCTAAACGAAGCAGGCTGGAAAGGTCAAAGATTGTAGTTTTAATCTCGACCAGATTTCTCATTTAAAGGTCATAAATTAGTGACTTCCCATCAGGTTTCATTTGTCTCCCGCGGGAGGCCATGGACGGTCAGTCGTATATGCTATAGAAACCCAAGTGCAAAGTGCATTCCAGGGAAACCTAACAAAGGAAAATGAGAAAAGCAGAGATCAAAGGTGTCAATCTAAACAACAATCAGAGAGGCTCTCTACAAGAAAAGATGTTTATTTGGGAATAAAGCGTTGCAGTGAGAATAGATGCCATGGTAAACTATGTCTATATTCAGGGAGATAAAAGAAGACAAAAGTTTTTAAAGAAAAAAATAGGGAGGGTTACATAATTGTTTTGAGACAATTACCCTTGGCTACAAAGATCAATAACAAGGATGACACCAGTCCAAAGTTGAACAGGCAGTTGCTGGGCAGATGTCCTTGCAGAAGTGTCCTTTGCGGAAGCTTGCGATGGCCTTTGTGCAAGGCTGTGGCTTTTGCAGTCTTCTGTGATTGGTTTTGCTGTCAGTCATACAAGCATGAGAACCTTCTCTTTGTGGCCTTCCCTCGCTCTGTCTGTCAAGGTTTTCTTAACATTAGTGACTCCATTTTGATACTGACACCTTTCCCAAAGGGGAGCCGATATGCCCTGAGCTCCTGTATTGGTAGGGGGGACGCACATTTACCTCTCAGCTTTGGCTCTAAGCCCACACAGATGTAACAGGCTCCGTCCCCTAAGAAAAAGCGAGTAACTTGGTCAGCAGGAGTGAGGTTTGCCAGGATAAGACCAGGGAATGTGTTCTTCCTTGGGTCTGCGCAAAGAGGTAGGAACCGTGTCCACAGTGATGAATTTGACACGCCTTTGTTTATAAAATTGTGTAAAGTAAACTAAAGTGCCTTAAACAGTGCAGATGGGGTAGGTGGCTAACAAGATTAACAGAGGGTGTGGGAATGAAACAATATAATCCTCAAGTATTTTATGGAATCTTCTTTAAATCCTTTCTGGGGGAAGAAAGGCAATTTAAATAGAAAAACAGTCTTGATGCAGAAATAACTCTTTGATGGTTTCCAGGGAAGCCTCCTTAATAGTATTTACCCCCTGTGGAACTTTCCTGAACCGTTGCTAAGTGCGAGGCAGCTACCGGAAGGAGGCTGTACCGTGGGGCCCAGTGAGGGTGGTGCGCGGGGCGCCCTTTCTCCTTTGAAAGTTGGGAGCCCGAGAAGGACACATAACTGGTCCCCACCACCCAACATAACTCATTCTGTTGGCAATGACACTTTCATTTGGCAAAAAAAGAAAAAAATCAACAATATAAATTATTGACGTACTCCCAAGCTGTTTTGAAATGAGCTGGTTTTTCATTTCGCTGGTTGGTGGGAATTACAAAACAGTAAATGTAAACATCAGGCCATAAGTTGGGAAAACCTTGATCTTTAAATATGGGGCAAGTTCCCTCTGACTTCAAGCATCCTCCTTCTTGCCTGTTTCTCCTGTGGCATTTTTATTAAGGCGATGATCGCTAGCTATATTTGCACAGAAATGTTTCTCAGGCTTCATCAGTCCCTGCTGCTCTTTCTCCACCTGAAGGACCTTCTCCAGCTCGATGCAGCCCTGGGGTCTTAGAGAAATAACTTGCAGCACATCAGGTGGGGAGCAAACAACAGGATAAGATGAAGCCTGAAATAAAAGCAAGAGATCTGTTATTGCAGCCGTGAGATAAAGGCACTGGGAAAGGGAATGGAAATAGGAAAGAGAAAAATCACTGCAGCTGTATTACTCACGAGTACATGATCTTTTAGTTCCTTGTGCAAAAACCACAAGTATCTAGACATCGAAATGGCACAAAACTTCCCTTTGGTTTTCAACCTGAAGCTGCATTTTTTTTTTTTTTTTTTTTTTTTTGCAAAATGAAATGATCAAACTCTTTCAGAGCATCCGTTTCACCTTACTGCATCCCTGTGTGAGAAATCAGAGAGGCAGCCTCATCCCCATCTGACCAGAGACACTAGCCAAGGCCACACGGCTGGACAGGGTCAGAGTCGGGCTGCTCCTGGCCACAGCCTAGACTGGATAGGTACAAGTTTAAATCCACTCTAGACTGGTCCAACGGACCCAGTTTGGAGAAGAACAATTAGCTTCCTTCTCTGTTCCTGCATTCCATCCCAAGTGGACCCAAGCTGCCAGATCAGTTCAAACCAATTCTGATTTCCTTAGCGCCCACTGTCCCATGGAGCCAGGGTGCTGGCCTGAGCCCTGGGGCATCAGGACCCGCCAGCTGCCTGAGCCAGTCAGCTGGAGCAGCAATCGCCAAAGAAACGAATTTCTGAACCAAGTAGATTTCTCCGTGCAACTTGTTCTTACACACGCTTCACCGTCACACATCGCTGGGCCGTGCTGGGCCCCTTACCCGTGTGTGAACAGGCCTCACTGCGGCCCCCCCTCTAGTTGCAGGTCGGCTGATGGAGGTAAGAGAAAAGCCATTTTGAGAAGTAACCCCCTCCATGTCCTGACGTCAGTTAAACAGCTTCAGTCCAAGACTGCTGTGTTGATTTTCCTGAGTCCAGATCCAGGGCTTTCAGAGCTGGAAACTAAAAGACCTTTATGATAATGTTCACCTATGACAGACACATGAGTCATTTATCTGTCACCAAAGGAGAACACTGCAGAGCCTGGCAGAATAAAGACTGGCAAAGCCTCTGTGAGCTCCCTAAGATTCTTTCATCCATTTGTTCAACGAATTCATTGAGCACCACCCTGTTTGTTCTGTGTCGGGTGCACTGACAAACAATGCTCGAGGCTGGGTGGGGGCTAAGAGGCCTCCTCGGGGTCTCTGATCATGCTTCTTGTCTGCAGGAAGAGAATGGCCTGGCCCTGTTACTATTTATGACCTCCATGATTACTCCTGTGAACAGCAGAGACGAATTTTCCCCTTGAGTAATCAAAATAATTGCCTGGGGAATGGAGGCTCTGGAAGAAACTGAATCTTCTGTAGAGGGCTGTAATAACAGGGGACAAAAGCCCCTGAGAGCGAGAGCACAGAAGAGAAAATAAACACAGAAGAATGAGTCTCGGGGCGGGGAAGTGCCAGAGCAGTGCTGAGATGACACCGCAGGAAGAGCATCATCTCCAGAGGGATCACTCATCCCACGTGCCCAGCCTGTCTAGCGAGCTTGTTCTTCTCTTTCTTAGGGGACCACTGGGTTTGAAGTGCACGTTGATAAGTGTTTGGAGCTGGCAGAGTATTTATACAACATCATAAAAAACCGAGAAGGATACGAGATGGTGTTTGATGGGAAGGTATGTACTCAGATTTCTACAATCCCAGAAGTTTAGTCAGTTCCCGTTCTTCTCACTGACGTTGTCTGGTGTGAACGTTCTTCTCACTGACGTTGTCTGGTGTGAACGTTCTTCTCACTGACATTGTCTGGTGTGAACATTCTTCTCACTGACATTGTCTGGTGTGAACGACGCGCTGTCCAGGTAGGTGGGACCATCACAGAGGGGAGCAGTGGGTGACGGGTAGCTCTTCTGAGCTGGAATGAAGATCAAACTGGCACATGACTCCGTATCATGTTGGGAAAGCCAGGCCCTCCAAAGGCAATTCCTGATTTAAAAGTGGGAATCATACTCGAAATCTGCCAAATAAATAGATTTGAAATGGAATCCCAAAATTGCCAGTTAGGGCTGGGTGTGAATTTTCCTCTCCTCTTTGCAGCCCCAGCACACAAACGTCTGCTTCTGGTACGTACCTCCCAGTTTGCGCACCCTGGAAGACAATGAAGAGAGAATGAGTCGCCTCTCAAAGGTAAATGCACCAAGCTCCTCTGATATGTGTGTACACTGGGCCTTTTAATCCTGTATCTTCTCCATGACATACACATATGTCATTGGGAGAGACCTAACCTTGGTGCATGGGTCCACTCCCTTCTGTGGGCTCCTGCAGAGCCAGGATGTACAGAGCCCCATGTAGCCAGACTCTCAACAACTCTATTTGCTTGTGTTCTGCAAGCGAGTTTATGACCTTAAGTAATTAGATGGTAACCTTTGCTGGCGCTCACAAAGCAGCATGAACCATGGCTGAGGTTGACACATCTTCCAAGCTAATCTGGTGCTCAATTACAAGCACAAACAGGCTTCAGGTACCAGAAATGATATGAAAACTGCATGGACCTTCTTGAGATGCCAAGGTCAAGGCTGCCCTGTGGGGTCTTTAGAGCAGCAGTGACCCCCAGAAGGTAACAGGACAAAGAGCAGTAAAAAAAAGCCACCATATAGAGTGTGAACTGTGTCCCAGGCTCAACTTATAGGGCATTAGATCACTTAAAGCCTCATAGGAACCAGATGTGGGAAGGACTATTGTCACTGCCCCATTTTGCTGATGAGGAAACTGAGGCACAGGGAGAAAAAGTAACTTTCCTGGAGTCATGCAGAAAGTCTGCCTCTAGAACCTGAGAGCTTGATCCTTAAATTCTGCTGTGACCAGTAAGATGCCTTCACCCTCTGTCCTCTCCTGCTTCCAGCATGGACACTGGGGTGGACACGGCTCACGTGCACACAGAGGGAGACCAGCGCAGGGCCCCAGGACTGGGAAAGTAGGGTGGTCATGTGTATTGGATCTCAGAGGGTTTGTTGATGGGTTAGTTTCTGGGCTTATTTCATTTATCGTAAAAGAGGGAACCTCCTCCAGTCACTAGACCTTTCCCAACACTTCATTTCCTTCTATGTAAAATGAAGAACAGGATTTTGTGTGGATTTAAAACCTTCAGAAAAGCTTTTAAATGTTAACACCTGCCCTTAAGCAACCCTGGATTAAACTCCTCATCAGGAAGAAACCTACACATGGTTCGGGTCTTTAAACCAAGCCTGCTAATCAGAGTAGCAATTCTCAACCCTGGCTGTATCTTAGAATCATCCAGAAGCTTCATAAAAAAACACTGCTGACTAGGTCTTACCCTGAGAATTTAACCAGATTGCTCTTGGATAGGCCTGGGAATGGTTCTAAAGGTTAGACAGGTGATTCCAATCACCTGCAAGCTGATGTAGCCCAGCTTGAGAAAGCCTAACATAGGGGAACAAATGGAAGCTTCTAGAACTGGCATCCATGATGCACATGTCTGGAGTGGCAGGGGTTGTGATTGTGTTTTAAGTCTTAGTGAAAGTGGTTCTTTCCAAGAAATCAAGGCCAAGAGGTGGGAAGGAGGGCGTGGAGGTTACATTAGACAAGACAATAAGTGCAACAAGAAGAAAAAACAGGGCCGCTGTCATTTGAGAGGAAAGAATTCATAATTTTCCTGAAATTTTTATGCTGTAGCTTCTTCATAATGTAAATTATCTTAACAATGATCAATTTTATTTAAGCGGTTAGGTGTTTCCGTTTTTAGAAATTAGGTGTTTCCGTTCTTATTGCGTTTGACTTCTTTAATGAACCAACTGACCAGATAGAAGATCCAGGGAGTGGTTCCACTGATTTCATTTGCTGGGTCTGTTCATTATCACTGGGCTGAGGGATGAGCAGGATGGGACTACAGAACAAAAAAGGTTTTTTTTTTATTTTCTGAGCAAAAGTCAACTCTGAGGCTCCCCCATTTAAATACAACTCTACAAATGCTTCTTAGATTTTAGCACATCACATAAACCGTGATGGGGATGGCGATTGTTTCCTAGGGACAGCAATCAGGATATTCGTAAACTGTTTTTAGACTGTTGGTAATTCAAATTCGAAAGTCTCTGGAGACTACAAAATGAATTCTCCTGATTTTTCTCTCTGTTCCAACTCCATTGTTATTACCGTAATAGAATTCAACAATTTGGATTTGGAAATGAAAGTAGAACCACATGAATTATCAAGGTTAACTTTTGTTTGTCTGTGTCAATAATTCTTCAGAGTTTCAGAAAAGTTTCTTATTAAAAGCATGAAGCCCTTAAAGTATAATGTCCAGGAACCAATAAAATCTTCACACACGCACCCACACACACCCAGAGGGAAAGAGCAGAGAAGGAATAATCTGTACTGTCCAAGATGATAGTAAAAGCCATATGTGACTTAAATTTGTACACTTAAATTTGTACACTTAAATGTACACCATATGTACACTTAAATTTAAAACAATCAAAATTAAATTCAACTAAAGATTCAGTTCTTAAATCCCACTACCACATTTCAGTTGCCCAACTTCTGGCCAATGGCTGTTGCGTTGGGTAGTGCAAGTGTAGAATGTCTCCATCATTACACAGAGTCTCCTGGCCAGTGCTGATGCAGAGCCAGATCGGGGAGAGATGTGGAGTCTTCTGTGTGGTGTGTGGGAAATGAGAACGAAGTTAAATTCTGGACAATATAAGGTAGAGAATTGCTCTTTATACCCTCTTGCCTGGTACTTGGCTTTAGCATACCATAGCCACTCAAAAGAAACTTTTCTGAAACTCTGAAAAATTACTGACATAGACGAACAAAAATCATTTGTTGAACTAAAGTACTGCCTTAGTCTGTTCAGGCCCCCCAAACAAACTGCTATAGACTGGGTGGCTTATAAACAACAGGAATTTACTTTTCACAGTTCTGGAGGCTGGCAAGTCCAAGATCAAGGCATAACAGATTTCATGTCTAGTAAGGGCTCACTTCCTGGTTCATAGATGGCCTTTTTCTCACTGTATCCTCACATGGCAAAAGGAGGCAAGGGAGTTCTCTGGGTCTCTTTTATAAGGGCACTAGTCCCATTCATGAGGACTCTGCCTTCCTGATCCAATCACCTACCAAAGGCCCCACCTCCTAATACCATCACAATGGGGGTTAAGATTTCAACATGTGAATTTTTGGAGGACACAAATACTCAGTCTATAGCACATACCTTTTGCAAATCCCAGAGTAAGGAAGGGAAACAACATGTAGGAAACCTAGTAGTGGCCATAGGTCTTTTCCCAGAGCACACTAGCTGTGGACAGACCTAGATCAGTCACATCTACACCAGGGAGTAAAGAGGGGAACCCAGTCGGTGCATTTCCCACTTCCCAGGCGGGACTGTGAGTGGCAGGTGGCGCATTGTCACCGAGGCAGAGGGAGAATTCATGTGGCGCTGGGGGGTGGGGGGGGTGAGCCACACAAACACCTTAGACACGGGGAAGGGGCAGCAGGGAGACTCGGTGCGGATATTTATCAAACAAGAATCAAAAAGGCTGGTCTGTCAGTCATCTCTTGTGTTTCTGCTGCTTCATCATCTTTTTCTTCTGTCTTAATTTTCATTATTCTTGATCATTATCTGCATGACTTCTACCAGCTTTTACAGTCCTATAATGATGGAGGGACTTTCAAAAGGTCAACAATGGATTTAATACTAAATCAGTAAGGAAATAGTTTGGGCTTATTTTGAAGGTGACTTTTTGAAAGTCTGTTATCAAGTATCATGAGGAACTTAATTGGTGAGATTTTAACATTTTAGGACATCATATTTATAGTTAGTTTGCTTTTTCAATTTTTAAATTTTTCTCTCAGGCTTCCAAAATTTAAAAACAGAGGTTTTCTAAAACATAGTGAAAAATACCTTCCTATGACAGCTTGTAAGTTGCTTTAATACCTTCCTATGACAGCTTGTAAGTTGCTTTGTTTCTTAGAGGAAACAAATGTAGATTGCAATTATGGAAGGATCCCTTGGTTATTATTTTCTAAAAGTCTGAAAAAGCTAATAGCACAAGAGAGAAAACAATACCATAAAACACATTAAGATGGCCCCAAAGAGCTCTTACTGATGGAGCCTTTAGTGAGTTCTTCAACATGCAGCTTCTCTGTTTCTCAACTGACTTTTTTTGTTCAGCAAAACCAAGAATCCAACAACAACCTGAAAAACCCTGGAAATACGTGAAAACTCTATATATTCATCAGAATAGTCAGAATCTTGTTTTCCTTCTCAACTTACAATTATAGAATACACAGTGAAGTAGATGTTCCATGTTCCTGCTAATTTTAGTTCATCAGCATTTTCTGGAAGCAGCCAAAAGTCATATGTATTTGGACAGCTGCAATTTCTGCCCACTCGGCTTGCTCCAGGAACTGGGGGATTCAATCTCACTTTATGCCAAAATCTGTTTGGAATGTGGCTGTTGACATTTTTCTTTTGACCTTTGATTTGCATTCATCTGAAAAGTTAGAGATAATTGTCCTTAATAATTACTGCCATTCTTACGTGTTTTTGCTTGGGTGGCCAAGAAAACTAAATAGGAATTTAATTCACTGAGTAAAGCATTGCCATTATTTTATCAGTTCTGAAGAGCAAACATCATTTATTACATGGACAAAACTAAGGAATATTTACATGACTTTCCCTTAAATTCCTGCGGCAATGTGGATTTGGAATTACTTTTCTCATTTGGGACTTCTCTTCTCAGGAACCACATTAGACTTGACGTGCCTCGAGGCACAAAGTAATACATGTCATGCCCCTTTGGCTAGAATATTCTAGTAGATTTATTTCCAGGACTTAATCCCAGAATTAAGATATTTAAACTCATTCTTATATGTATCCCCTGGGATGAGCCTGATGCTCTACATACATTCTAATCCCTCAAGTGAAAGAAGGACCAACCCAACAGAAACGTTTCTCTTCATGCCACCTTCCCATGGGACCAGGAGGGGCAGGAAGGGACGAAGCACTTGTTAATCTAGAATCAGAAAATCCCCGCTCTGGCTGCAGTCATCATCCACATTCACTTTTAGATGAGGAAATTAGGTTCAGAATTCGAGGTGAAGGTGACGTCTGTTGGCTTTCTCTCTGGTAACTAACAGATGATCAGGCCTGATGGGAACCTTGCTGATTTTGTGCATTGGGTGCTTTGAAGATGAAAACCTCATTGTGAACCAATGGTTATTTAAGAGCTGATATTCAAAAGTCGCATGTGCGTAACAGCATTCCATTTGAATCTACCCTTCATTTAAGATGAATCTGTCTGTGATGTAAGGCATGTCCCCATTCTGAACTGAGTTTCTGACCATGTATACCTCAAAGGAGTCTGAAGCTTTTCTGACATCTACCATTCTATGTATTTGCAACAGTGAACATAGAAGATCAAATGTTATATCTATAAACTCCAGTGGTAAATATGTGTGGGCAGATCATACCTACGGTTAGATGTAATTTAAATTTGTGCCTCTTCCTAAATTATGCGTCAGCAAGAACTCAGGAAGCTTCCACATGTACCCAGCACTGTGCTAAACAAGAGAAGTGAAAGACACCATGTCCATCCTCCAGAAATGTGTTTGCTCCTAAGTAAGAGGATGGTAGGAAATCAGCAGATAGTCAGAATCTATGGGGAAGACTCATGTATTTACAATTTAAAAGAAGAGAGATACTAAGGGACAGAGAAGCAGCAAAGGCTTCCTAACAGCTGCGAGACTGTGCTGGAGCACTGGAGTATGTGTAGGATGTGAACTGGAAGAGAAAGGCCATCCTAAGCAAAGAGAACAAGTGTGACATGGTACCACCGATGACATGTGTGAAGAGTTAAGGATACAAGTGGTACCTTCAAGGGATATTTTATAAAGGAGTCTTGTCAGTGTTGAAGATTCATTTTGGTGAGCAGTAGAAGATGAGTCCTCAGAGCTAGGTGTGGAGCTAAAGAGTTTAAATTTAATTTCATACATGGTAGAGAACTACTGAGGCTAATCCACAAGCAGAGTAAAATCTTGTCTGTGATATGTGATATGCAACACATGCATGTTAAGTCCTAGGTTTGGCTTTTTGCCCAGATCATTTGTCATCGTTAAGGAATACCTTTCAAAATACATTATGAACCAAAGCAATGCAAACCGAGAATGAGAAGAAACTAGAAAGCTTTACGGTCTTAAGAAAGTTGCCACAAGTCTATTTATCTTCATATATGACTTGATATTGAAAATTACCTTTTGGTGACAATTCTCTGAACTATGTCTTATTTCAATGTTTTTATATTGGCTGGGGAAAAAAAAAACTCCCCCAAATGTTGTATTGCTAAACTGTTTAGCCTTGAGGCCACTACCACATTCTCCCAAAACTTTAACTAGAAAGTCAAGGATAAGATGACAAACATGTGATCGCCTACCATTTATTGTTGTTCTCATCACCTTCAGGATCTTGAATGTATTGAGCTGTTGTAGTCCTCTGATCCCAAGAAAATTCAAGGCAATTCCTTCAAAAGAAAATAAATATGGTTCTGATTGTTTAGTTAAAAACTAAAAATGCTGCTTGCTCTTGGGTTCTTTGACTAAGGGGAGAGTTCAAGGAGAGACAGTCACCATGCTGATGTGCCCTGTCCCATAGGTGGCGCCAGTGATTAAAGCCAGAATGATGGAGTATGGAACCACCATGGTCAGCTACCAACCCTTGGGAGACAAGGTCAATTTCTTCCGCATGGTTATCTCGAACCCTGCAGCCACTCACCAAGACATTGACTTCCTGATCGAAGAAATAGAACGCCTCGGACAAGATTTATAATTACCTAACTCACCAAGCTCTGTTTCACTTCTCTAGGTAGACAATTAAGTTGTCACAAACTGTGTGAATGTATTTGTAGTTTGTTCCAAAGTAAATCTATTTCTATATTGTGATGTCAGAGTAGAGTAGAGTTTAAAAATCAAAAAAACATTGCTCCTTTTAAAAATCCTTTCTTAAGTTTAGAATACCTCTCAATTAGTGACAGAAGGCTGTGTTCTAATTAATAAGGAAACGCTTAAAGTTGTTATAAATACTTCCCTTACTTTTAATATAGTGTGCAAATCAAACTTTATTTTCACTTCAGAGTAGTAGGATTGAATAGTGCCAAATTGCCCCTGAATCATAAAAGGTTCTTTGGGGTGCAGTGAAAAGGATATAGTAAATATAAAATGTATGTTGACAATAAAAACTCTTGCCTTTTTCATAGTATTAGAAAAAAAAATTTCTAATTTACCTATAGCGACATTTCAAATGTATTTAAATACATATAATTTTACAAAAGGAAAATATATATATTAAAAAAGAAATCCTATTTTGTAACATATTATAGATTTTTATTTTATATGGGTTATACAAACTGCAGGGGCAGATATAAAAACTAAGCCAGATTTTTTTTTCTTTCTTTTAATGGAGGCACAATAAAACACAGCAAAGTTATTTTGAAACATAGGCCCACGAAGATTCTTAAAAGGTAGGATTCCTTCTTTCTATACACGTTATAGCTTATTACATCTCCAAAGTTAGTATCTCAAAACAAATGCAAAATAATACTGCAAGTTCTTTAAAATGATTGATTAGATTGGCAAAAGCATTCCCTTCCTGTTTAAGTTTTCCACCCACTTGACCCTTGGCAGACAGTGTCTGCCAGGCGTGACAAACCAACCAAGCTTCATCTTAGATTTAATGACAGCAGTTGTCTCTGCTGGGCTTTCCAATTCCGCCTGTTTGGACAGGAAGTTGATGCTGGTTCTTGAGGCGTCTGCCCAAACAGTATTCTTTTATTAGGTCATTGGATTAACTAGAAAAAAAAATAAAAATTAAATCTAATCATCTTGAGCAAAGAGGAAAGAAGCCTGCTCTCAGAATGTGGTGAGCCCAGAAAATTAAACTCGGCCTTGGGAGGTCTCTGTGTGACAATAATGACATCATCCTGGGTGCCACATTGGCAGGGTCCAGGAAGGAGTGATTTGCCTCCAAGGTAGTTGCTTATTCCTATTCCCTCTCCGTTTCTACCCACAGAAGTCTCTCCTGCTAGACTCCCTATCACTGGATCCCAAATAATTTATATTCTATAGGTGGTGGTTTCCCTTTAATGAAACGAGCTCCTCACCCTAGATTTTGAGACATCATTTTAAGACCTTCTCTTATCTGTCTTCTATCAAGATCCAAAGTGACTAGTATACGCAGGGTAATAAGATCCTGAGAATCCCAAATAATATTTTTTACAACATCCTTCTTCCTCTGCAAACCTGATGGAGAGACATGAGCCAACAAAAGCTTCCATAGATATTCATGGGGCCACAGATTGTCAGATTCTAAGTGCTGTAGGAGAACTAAAGACTTTTATTTGGAGACTGCAAATACTAATTTAGGAACATTCACCCTTTGGTATGGACCAGGTAGGTAGTTCATTGGGCAGAAAGACCATACAGGTGTACAAGCGAAGAGAGAGGGCGCTGTCCCACAACAGATAGAAACGTCCTGTGTATAACCACAGGGGCCAACCATCTGAAGTCCTCACAGGCTTGCCCCTACATTATTTCTCCCAGGTTATTTACAAAAACACTGATGCTTGACGTGAACATGGCTTTGGGCCCTTTCTGTCTAGAAAGCAAATGGATTCTATTCCAGGATGCTTGTCCCTTGGGGTATAGGTCCTAGATCATAAACTGCTGCTTTTCATATTAATGAGATGACAGAATTTAAAAGGACAATTTGTGCCTGTGCATGAAATTCCAGAAAAACAATTTTAGCCAATAGCCATTTATTTTAACCACGCACTCCCCTGCCACTTGCAGGTCCTTTCTGAAACTTGCCAAGAGCCATGCTCAGACCTGTGCAGGGAAGTCCCTACCAACCGTAGCCCAGGGATGGGACAAACAGAAGCCTAGTGAGTCCCAGTAGTTTAATAAAAACTCTTTAAAGTAGGTGTGTAATCTGCTCAGGGAGAGGAAGGGATGAAAGGAAGAAGGAAGGAAGAAAGGAAGGGAGGAAGATTGCTTTAAATATTAGTCCAAATTCCCAGTGCCAAAGGTCTTTATGTGGGACCATCCTTTATAAATTTTAGAAAAGTTTGGTTTTAGCTTTAATCTGAATCGACATGGCCATTTTCATTTATACAGCAATATTGTGTTTATTATTTAAGATACTTGAAAAAAGGTGTGGTATGTCTTTATCTGAGACCTAAACACGGTATGGACTTCATGTACTGTCACAGGGTGTGAGGAAGGAAAAGGAAATCAATTGTGTGTGACTGTGTTGCCTTTATTATATTGATAGTACTGTCTTGTCACCTCAAATTGGGGTTGTGCACTTTAGAGCTGAACTGTGCAGTGTTGCAAATCAACATGTGTTTCTGTGAAAGCTTGTACAATATATTATTGGTCTTTTCCCGTGTGGTAGCTGTATTGATCTTTGATATTATGAAAACTACATTTGCATCTGTTACTGTTCTCTCTCTCTCTCTCTTTTCTAAACTGTGAGCCCTCCATATCAGCTCTAATAGAGAACATGCCCCCAGCTGAGCCCCATACTGAGAAACCTCCTTTGAGAATTGTGTGATTTCACAAAATGCAAGGTGAACACTACTTTGTCTCTAGGAATAGAAGAAACCAATTATGGAGTGTCACAAACTGCCAAAATCGCAGGTGCCGACTCTGCTGAGCATTGGAGTAGGTGCTACTCCTCAAAAGATGGACCAGAAAGCACAGGTGTAAATATAGTAGCAAGACAAGGAATCAAGGAACCTCAAACTGGGTATCATCTTGCACGTGCTCTTCTGTTTTTAAGTGCTAAATGCAAACACTGTGTATTTATTAGTTACGTGTGCCAAAATACTGTTCCCAATTGGTGTTTCTGAATGACATTGACATTTCCCCAACATTACTCCATTACTAATGACAGAAAAAAATAAAAACATAAACTATACAAACATGTGGCAACCTGTTCTTCTTACCAAATATAAACTTGTGTATGATCAAAGTATTTTATCTGTGTCGTCTCTCTAAACCCAAATAAATGTGTAAATGTGGACACATCTCAGGCTGTGCATGCTTATTTCTGACTTTGTCGTGTGGTGGAAATGATTTTCAATGAATTGCCTGAAGGCCCCTCACCCTGACATGGAGCTCAGGTGCCTTTGGGTCTTGGTTGGTGATAAGAAAGCTCTTCTGTAGCCACCACCACTGTAGCTTCCGAAGGGTATTGTTGCCCTACACTGGTTTCTCCTTCCATCAGATCCAATCTTTTTATGAAACATTATAATGGAAATTTTCACATACATAAAAAAATGCAGAAAATGGTATAATAAACTCCTACATGGTCTTCGCCCAGCTTCAACCTCTACTGAATCTTGCTTCATCCATTCCCTCCCCAATAATAAATTATTTTTATATGAATCTGCAAAAGATACAGGCTCTTAAATGTCCTCAACACCACTATCACAGCTAAAGCTATAATAATCTTGCTATAATAATATTAAATACCCAGGTGGTATTCTCATTTCCCCAATTCTCAGCTTCATAGCAAAGCCCGTGGCCTGTGGCCCAGGAAACCCTGCGAGACTGCGTGTTTCGGGACTGCTGGATGTTACAGCTCAGGCATGCAGTGCGATGCCACATGCACACGGCTGGGCATATGCTCTTGTGTATTTTCCATTGAGTTGAGTCTATTTCTAGACTTCTGTGGGCCTCTGTGTTCAGGGACTTTTCTCCCAGGCTCTCAGGAGCAGAGGCTACCCAGTGTGAGCAGGCTAAAAGCTGGGAAGCCGTGGGCATTTAGTATGTGGAGTATATGTCCAGTCCAGGCTGCCCCAAGGCTGGAGACGCTCTTCCAGGCATTATGCTGGGGTAGAGAGGGGATTTCAAACAGGTGCTGGGGGTGGAGAGACATAACAAGGAAGAGGATGAGGTTTCTAGCTAGTTTCAATACTGCTTGTAGGGGAACCAGCAGACAACAGCCAAACGAAGAGGACGCTGCACATTCCTGCCTTTGCTCACATTACTTCCTCGGCCTAGAAGAGTCTCCCCTTCCTCCTAGATTGGGGAGCAATGTCTCATGGGTGTGGAGAGTGCAGGGACAAATCACTGACCAACTGTGAGACCCAAGCACATAGCCTGACATCCCTGACTCTGTTTCCCAGTTTTGCAACTGCAACTTCTTCACAAGGTTTTTGTGTGGATTAAATAAAATGTATGTACAGCACTTAGCATGGCGCCTGGAACCCAATACGCACTCCACCAATCTTCTTCTTGTAGTGATGCTATTAATTCTATGTGAATTCTGCAAGTGAGCTCGTGTCACCTCCTTAAACACTCTCCCTCCTTGAAATTCTCCAACTGCTCACTCTTGGTCGTATAACTCATTGGGCACCTTCCTAGCAAGTTCAGACTAGCGACAGTATCTTTGGCATTGTCTTCATTGTACCCAATGTAGAATATAAACAGAGTCAATTAACATCTCTCAGCTTATCAGGCTGAAAGAACTGTTGTCTATTCCAATTAGGTGCACACACCTCACTCTAAATTTAACCCCCAGGCAATGTTAAGTTTAACTCAGTTTTTACTATCTCAGACAACTGTCTGAGGTTCCATGTGTGTATTCCATTAACAGGGCCAGGCAGAGCAGTCTTGCTCTTTTAATGTATTTGCCTATCAAAACACGCATACATGAATATAAGGCTGAATGTATGTCTATATATATCTATACATATGTCATAAATGTCATACACTTATATATGGCTATATAGATAAAAGTGTATACATACAATAATGCCCTATAATGGAAATAAAATCTTATTTCAATTATTGACACCAAACAAGAGCAAACACTCACCAAATTGTTACTGAAAACTCAGCATTTGTCCTTGAGGCCACATCAGAAAAACAAGAACAAGAGGTTTGAGAAAAAGGAAAGAGACGTTTATTACTTTGCTGGCAAAGGAGGAAAAATGGTAGACCTTCTCATCTCGAAATCCAAACTTTCCTGCCCATAAGCAGAAATACAGAGGCTTTAAAGGGAGTGCCCTGAGGTCTAGGCTACTGTGGTTAACTATTCTAATCCTCCCATCTCTGCTGAAGGCAAAGCCCCACCTGGGGCCACCTGGGGGGCCGGCAGGGCCTGGGATAAGAACAAAAGGCCTTTTCCCCACTCCCCCAACCACTGGCCTGAGCCAGGGATGCAGATTTTAGTTCTCAAAAAGGAGTGGAGGATGTTTTAGAGACAGAAAATATTTTTGCCTGTTGTTCAGGCCATTCCCTCGGTTACGTATTCCCCACTCTCAATTTTACCTGTCCATATCCATGGGAGGAGGGGTGAGTGCTCTGTTACAAAATGATCAATAGCTCAGATCTTAAATTTCAAGAGAAAAGGGGGAATTGATCTCCCCAAAATTAAAGGCTATAAAGGCATGCTGTATCTGGGTGGCTACCAGGCCTGTCTGCCTCTGGCCGTGAATGGACAGGCTGTGAAGACAGGCAAGGCCTGGCTGGAGTAGCTGGGAGGGCAGCAGCTCTGGGAATAGCCCTGTGCCTTGCCCCACCCAGCCAGCCCATTCTTCACCCTTCACCCTTAACCTTTCACCCTCACCCTTCACCCACCAGTGATCTCTGAGAAAAATGTAAAATAAACATTGCTTTTAAAGAGTAAAGTAACTACAAATGAACAATTTTGCCAAGGGGAGAGCAGATGGCTGAGTGTGAAAGATGAAATAAAACTTCCGACATGAGGGGTGGAGAGAGAGGGCAGATAGAAACAGGCAGAAGATGGAGTAAGTGAAAATATTCACCTTGGACTTGGCATTCTCCTTGGCTGCGGGACTCGGCAGCCCTTTCTCCAGCCCTGGACTCTCTGAGTCCCTCCCTGCAGCCCAGTCTGGAGGGGCCACTCCCATTTGATCTCTCAACACAAGGAAATACGATTAATTAGGAGACCTGACTGCCTTTCACCTTCTAACAAAGCCCTGCTCACTCACGCACTGCCTTTCACCTTCTAACAAAGCCCTGCTCACTCACGCTGAAGTGAGCACGCTGTGCTTTGAGCGTTTCTCTTGTGCAGTCATGACACTCGTGGCATCCAGGCTCTTCTCCGGCTGTTCCTCTGTCAATCTGGCCTCTCCATTTCCCTTTGAGGTCAGGGACGAGGCTTCTAGTCACAGGCTTGGAGACCTGGAAAGACGCTGAAAGATCCAGAGTCTTCCAAACCCTGGGCTTTGGCCCCGGGCAGAATGAAGATGTCCCAATCTGTGACAAAATGAGCAGCTCAGGAAAACCAAGAAAGCTGTTTGAAAATCGAAATCTATCCAATCTGCAGGGCAATCTTTTGTCTCAGATTATGTCCTCGTTACATTTTTCTATCATTATAGTTCACAAAATGCCCTTCCATTCATAAAGTGATAGCAATGATATGTTACTCAGCAAAAGAAATAGCAACTCTATTTTGGGCTCCTGCTTTTTAAAAATTATGCTGGTATGTAAATCATAAATCTGAGAAGCACTAAATTCATTAAATCTTTCAGATTGTCCCCATCCCCAACCTCCATTTCCAGGCACTTAATATTTCCAGGCACTTTGACTATTTACAAGTCAAATGGAAAGCTTTGAAAGACTGTGGGTTGTGGTGTAATCTACATGTTACCAGAAGCCAAGGATCCACCAATAAAGCTTTTGTTTTCTAATTCTCACACATCCCAACACCTCTCAGCACTGGACTCCTCCTACCTGATTGTGTGCATTTTATTGCAATTTACCCAGACAGGTGCTGTCTTTGGCTTCACTCTGATAATGCAAAATAATGAGACTTTCATCTTTTTTTTTTCCAAGTAGCCATTTAATAATCAAGTTCTTTCATGATGTTTCAAAGAAACAAAAACCTTCAAAATTAGTCTTCAATAGATGAATGAGAAGCTGTGACTATAAAACATCTCTCTGTCTCACACTGTTTGCTTCAGATGAGAGTGAGTTCTGGGGCTGCTTCATGTTGGAGACTCTTCCCTGCCCCAGTGAGGGGAAAATCCTTTTTCTACTTCACGTTTGTTTTCTCGTCCATGATGGAAACCAATTCACACATTTGACAACACTTGCTGCTGCATGGAAACGGACAATTCTCCCCAACATATATCAAAACTTCCCTTTAGGAAAAGCACCTGGTTTAACATCTGTCTTTGTTTATGCAAAGAAAGCTCTGGTTTGAGATTACTTAATAAACACAGTGCTTTTCTTTATTCTTGCAGTAGGGGATGAGGGATGGGGAGGGAGGTAGCATGAAGAGAGAGGACAAAGCTGCTATTGTAGTTTTAACCACTTCAGCCAGAAGGATTTTATAATAGAAAGTTCCTTTTCTTCTGGCCTTTGATGAGCCACAGTGACCAAATACCTACATCAGATGTACATCTGAGTATTTTAAGACTAAACATCCAAAGGGCTTTGTTTCCACTGTAAAAACAATATTGTTCCAATGCATATGAGATGTTTAAAGATGCCCTATTTATTTCCACCCCCCTCTCCTGATTTTTCTTCATGCGTCATAGTAAAGGAATTCCAATTACTGTGCTAACCCAAAGAGCATTTGAATGGCCTGCCCAGCCTTTATGATAAAACAATAAATTGGAGATGTTAATTCTGGAAGCCAAGAGTTCCCAGGGGGCCCAAGAAGAGGGTCTTGATGCCTACTAAGGCACTGAATCCTGTTAACTTCCTTCCCAAGGATTCCCATGCCCAAGCAAATACGCATCGGATTCGGTGGCTGTTCTGAGTGCTGTGATCTCATGGGAGGAGGTATCCCAAGGGGCTGGGTTTGCAGCAGCTTGGAAAGCCAGCCCACACCAGGAGAGGGCGGATCTGCGTGCTCACATTTTCATTCCTCTCATGCAGCGACTGCTGAAGCAGCAGCTGGAGTCTGCCTGCCTGGCCTCAGATGCTTGGCCTGCCATTTATTAGCTCTGTGGCCCTGAGCAAATCACTTAACCTCTCTGAACCTCAGTTCTCTCATCTGTAAAACAAGGATAGAAATAGCACTTAGCTCCTAGCACCATAGTGAACA